CTTACAGTTTTTTATATGTTATGTTATAATGAGGTGATGCAGAATGAGTTGTAATCTTTTAGAAATGGTTATTTCTAATGGTTACATCTTGCTTGATGCAGATATTCTATGAGTTCAGATGGTTTGCCAGTTTAGATCTTATCATTTTCTCTGTAATGTTAATATTAGAAATGCATACTCAGAAAATTGGTTGAACAAAGCAGATAAGGGTTGGTTTTACATTCAAATAATGCTCTCTTGTTTCATGTATTGTATTTTCCTTTATTTAATGTCCTATGTTCTTTTGCAAACTCATGAATAGTCTGAAAATGTCAATACAGGACATGTTTGAATGTTCAGCAAGTATAATCTACATAGATGTTGTAGTGTTACCTACTATTAAAAGAGACACAGCTTTAGCACAAGTCGTGGTGCTTTATTAATCAGCTGTTGTTGGCCACAGCCATTCAGTGTTACTGAAAGCAGAACTGCAGTTAAAGAAAGTTATGCAAAGCCATTTTTCAAAACACGATTCCTCCAATTCCTCCTGGTTTACTCCCTCTAAAAGTTTAAGTTTATTGGCTCCTCCTTAAAGGGGATGTTACTCTTGCGTCATTTTCCCCCCTCTGATGAGGTCTGATGAGCTCCTCATATTTCCTGTGATCTCCTCCACCTCTCTTTGTCTTTTGATGCTTTTCTTCCTCTTTTAATTCTTCTTTATTGTCTGTGTGTTTGGCTTTGTTCTCCAGGTTAGTCTCTGCTTCCTTCAGCTTTCTTTTCTTGAATTAAGCTCCTTAAGTTCTTCAGAACAGAAAGCCTCTCCTTTTTCAATTATGAAATTTAGATTTGATTATAATGAATGAACTTGTTTCGTCACATTTGGGATATATATATATATAAAACTCAGTGTTGAATTATCACGTACAAGGAGACCATACATCCTCTTTTCTGGGACCCAAAAAACAGCAGTGTAGTGATAAGCTCAGTTGTGAATAGGGAAAATTATCTGATAATCTCTCTTTGAACACCATGATGTCTTAATAAACATACCGAACATACTTACAGCTTTCTTTCATTTACATTTGCCTCAACCCAAAACACACCCAATTCACATTCTGATTGTTGTGGAAATCTAACAACTGTGAAAAGCTACTGTAGTCAGCCTATATAATTGTGACCATCTCAAATAATCACAATTAGGTGATTACATAATAATTGTGACAGGCCTGTTGATAAACACACAACTCAGCTAACATCACTGTTATCAACTGTCAAAATAAAGCTCTGAAATATTTTGTGATGTTCAGCAAAGTGGTAGAAGTATATATGAAATCAGAAACAGAGCATCAGCAGATATCACACTATTGGTAACATTACACAAGCTTGTGATCTTATCACTGTTTCAAACTCAGAGACACTGATGTAGGAAATGAAGAAAATATTTGTTTATTCAATATTTAGTAACCGTACACACCTTCAGAATACATAGCAATAAACAGTTCTTGTGATATAAAATCTTTACACTTCTATTAAACTGAGAGTTGTTCTACACTGTAATGTTAAAGAGTGAAGAAAAAGCTCTTTATGAATGAGGTTTTGTATTAAACTACATCTGGAGACATTTGGAACATTCAAAACATTCAGTCTGTTCTCTGACCACAAGAGGGCAGCAGCATCTAAATGGACTGAACCTGCTTTCATTCCTTTACTCCTCTTAAACTGAGTGCTTTTATGGCTTTAATGGCTGTTTTTCCTCGTTTTTTCTTTTCTGTTTGTTCGCCACAATCTATCAGCTCAGTAGTTTCCATGTTATTTACTCAGTAGTTTACTATGTTAAATGGAGCTATAAAGTCTCTCTGCAGCTACAAACCACAGTATAGCCTTTTTGTCATTTTAAACACTTTTTCAACACTTTTAAAACACACACACACACACACACAACACAACATACACATATATATATATATATATATATATATATATATATGCGCAAATAAACAATACAGTAAAAAGTAACAACAATTTCTTGATATTTTGTGAGCTACTCTTTTTGGCTACAGATTTCTCCTGGACACCCTGAGCCATAGATCAGCACAACATAACAAAGTCCTGATTAGATAAACCAGGTACTGGATCATTACTACAATTAATACTGTATTAAGACTTCCCTGAGGAGAGATTTGAAAAGGGTTAAACAAACACAATGACAAACATAAAATCAATACTTCTTGTATTAATGTTATTTGTATTTATTCTAATGTTAGTGTTTTTCTGAGCAAGTAAACGCTTACAGCTTTTTAAATATAATAATATAATAATCTCAGGTGCCTAACACAAAAAAGCAGAATACTAAACAGTACATGCTGCTATAGATTTATATAAAACATAATTGTGCAATAAGCATTTGACAGTAAAATTAAAGTGCTGATTGAGTGAGAGTCAAACTAACGTACCATCAACAACTGACTGAGCTCTGAGTCTCCTTCTGCACTCGGACTGCACCGAAGAGTCTCAGCTCAGAGCTTCATCATCGTCTTCTGAACAGTGTAGAAAAACTCCACAACTCAGACATTTTCAACAATAATCTCATCACTTCTTATATCAATCAAAAGAATGCTTGTGTAATGCACTGTTACACTGCACAGGTTAATGTAAATATGATGATTCCTGTTCTCTCCACACCAAGTGAACAGACTTTCTCCCAGAAGAAGCCATGCCAGCAGCAGAATCACCATCATTTCCACTGACACAAGCATAAGCAGCATGAGTACGCCTGTTTTTACCCACCATCCACTCAACTTGATGGATGGGAATTTTGAGTTTAATTAAGGATTATCTTCTAGTGGAGGAAGGGTTGATGTTAGTCAGCAGTATAATTTTATAAAGTGAAAACAGATTTTTTCTGTACAACCCCCAGTTGCTCCATATCTGCGAATTCCATCTCATTCACACATACATTAGCATATGTCCTGCGGAGTGGAGCACTAAGAAAGTTATACAGATATTCCTTTTCCTAGACAGATAAATGGTCAATAGAAATGTCATTTAGCAAAGTGCATGGTATATTTGTTTATCCTCGGCAGCATTCTGATTTATGATTAGGCCAAAGTTTCAAGCCTGGTGGACCAACCGGGAAATCTGTTTGCAGCATGGAATGTTTAACTAGTATTTTGTCATGAATGAATCTATATTAATAAAATTTAATTGGTTTTCATGGCTTATTTCAGTGTATTTTGCTGCGTGACGCGCTCAGTGTAAGGAAAAAATCAGCGCCTGGTCTATTCTCTAAAATCCTGTGCTCTGGGACGCTCTGCTGCTTCGCTCGTGCAGCCTGTGTGCAAGTGTTGACCTGTTAACGCCGGAATGAAAATCAAGCTGTTCCGCGTTCCTCAAGCCACGCAGAGGTAGCATGTGGAATCAGAGTCCAACAACAATGACGCAGTAAAACTTCTTAAAGTGACAGTACAGCATTAAACAGCATAGAAGCTTAATATTTTGCTGTTTTACTTAATTTACAAGCCTAAGTTATATAAACTACATACATAGCTTACTGTTTAGAGTAGCAGATCCAATACTGTGCTGCCCAACCCTATAATGTCTACATGTGCTACATCTATTTACACATTAAAAAGAGTTTTGACACATTTTAAAGCACAGTAAATGTTGTTAAAAGTGCATTTATACTTAAGTAGCAGCAATAATAAAATACGATGTCAAGCCTATAATAACAGAAGAACCATTTGTGGTGCTGTACAGAACGCTTTTCATCTACAGCACATTTTCCATCAATCTGAAGAACACTTTCACAATGCAATGAACCCTTTAATCATGCAAAGGGTTCTTTGAGTGTTCGTTGTTCTATATAGAAGCATCTTCTTTACTAAAGAACCCTTGAAGAACTATATTTTTAAGTGTGTAGTTTCATCTTTCCAATTATTTACTTATATTCATGAGTAAAGCTCTTTGAGATTTTGTAGACAAAATGAAAACTGCTACATACACACATAATTATTATTATATTCTTATCACATACCGTGACAGAGAAGGCAGCCAAGGGAAAAATTCAGTCATTCTGAGCTCACTTCTCAAATCAGTGCTTCTGCTATGACTGGAAGTCAGTCAGGAGCTCTCACTGATCTGACCGAGTGGTTATAACTGGATCACTGAGAGTTCCCCAAAGGAGCCGTTGTGTTAACCTGCTAAACAGTCCTCTAGTGTCCTCCTGATGATCATCTCCTTCTGCTGTGATTCCCCCTCTGACTCCCTTTCTGACTCCCTCTCTGAGTTTCCGTCTCAGTGTTTCTATCTCTCTCTCCTTTTCATCCATCCTACAATCAAAATCTTTCTGTTTCTTTGTCATGACTTCCCACATTTTCTGCTGGAGTTCAGGCAGGATGATCTTCATGAGGTTCTTCTCTGCTTCCATCTTGGCTTCTCCTTCATACGTCTCCCTGATCTCCTCCATCTCCTCTCTGTGTTTCTCCTCCATCTCTTTCTTCTCTTTTTCAGTCTCTTCTTTCAGCCTCTCCAGCTCCAACTGAACCTCATTCCTCTGCTGAATCTCTCTCTCCAGTTTTCTCTCTAGTTCTACTTTTCTCTTCTCATCTCTTTCCTCTTCTAGCAGTTTCTCAAGTTTAGTTATTCGCTCTTTATGCTGAGTAATTTGTGTTTGAAAGTTAGCAGTTGATTCTTGATACTTTATTACAATCTCTTGTACATGCCTCTCCAGCTTCTCTTTTGTTTCTTTTTCTTGTCTCTCTCTCATCTCCTCTCTTTCTCTCACAATTCTTTTCTCTATCTCTCTGATCTGAGATTCTGCCTCCAGGTAGATCTCACTGCTGTAGAATTTCTCTCTGTTTCCTTCCTCTATCTTCTCGATCGTCTCCAGCAGCTCTGAGGTTTGAGAACCATCTCCACTCTCCTTAATGCTGAGACAGTGAAACCTGTTCCCACATTTCTCTACGAGTCTCTGGACCTCCTGGTTTCCTGACTGGATAAACTTTTCAATGTTCTTCTCTTGGACTTCTTTCAGTCACAGTGAAAAGGATCATGGTGTTTCTCCAACATCTCTCTCCAAAAATCTCCTCCATTTTCTCCAGCATGCCTCTCTCCTCTCCTGTAGACTGCTTCACTGGTATGACTAGGAGGAAGGCGTGGGGTCCTGGGGACAGACAGACGGACACAGAGTCCCACGTCCTGTCTCAGCTCCTCCAGAGAGAGTCCAGGACAGAACCAGTCAGGAGTGTCCACCACAGTCACCTGCCTCCCAGCCACCTCCCCCTGTCTGCTCTCACTCTGCTGCCTCACTGTAGACGCTCCAGCCTGGCTCCTCTCCTCTCTGCCCAGGATGGTGTTTCCTGCTGCTCTCTTCCCACATCCAGTCCTCCCCAGCAGCACCACCCTGAGCTCTGATACAGGAACTGACTCTGGAGAAGCTGAACTAGAGGATTCTCCACCCACTGCAAATCAAAAGAAACGAGTTATTGGTAACAATTTAATAATAACAGAACCTTATGACTACCAAATATAATAGTTATCTTGTTTACAACTATGTAATTGCTAAATGTAGATAAATAAATGCTTTACTGTTTTAATTAATAACCTTTTCATTAAGCAACATACAAATAATTAATCATTAATTTGAATGATAGATAACTAAGTATAAATAACAGCTTGATAATAATTATTTTTTTGATCATAACTCATAGATAATAAAATATTTGATATTTGATAACTTGATATTTGATAACTTGATATTTGATAACTTCATATTATGTACTTAGTTGCATACAACCATTTCATTTTACACAAATCGCAGTTTATAACACTTTATATATCTACATATACTTTACACATCTACATAACTGACATTTTTCTGAAACGTACATCATCTATATTATGAAATTTCCATATACATTCATAGAAATATACATCAAACATTTAAACTACACTTGAAAAGGCCTTTAAAAAAACTGATATGAAAAATATTTACTTTTTGGATGAAACAAGTTGTTACTGTTTGTTCTTCTCAGCGGTGCTGCTGAAGTCTTTCCACGCACTGTGAAACAGCAGACAGAATGGAGAACCTCAAACAGTCTAGGACAAGTTTTACATTTTCTTGTTTTGGTTTCACTTGACATAAATAACAAATTTGTATAAAATTGCATTCAGATTTTATGTGTTAATTTATATCTAAACTGTTTAATACCAATGCATGTGATCAGTTTGCCATACAAATGTACACGTTTTAAATGTGCAAAGTATTTTTAACCGGGGTGTCACTAGGCCATTTTTTTTTTTGGTGGGGGGGGGTGCGGGGTGTTCATTACTAATTAATGTCACTAATAAGTAGTTCTCATTCATTATTCAGTGGTGCTACTGTGTGTCCAAATTCACAATATACTGTGATTGTGATACTGAATTGTGGAGGTGGAAGGAGGTGATTCTGCTCTAACCCACCGCTGCCTCGGTGGTGCTAACAGAGATTTTCTAACATAACATAAGATGAGATCCTCTGCTGTTTAGCATTGGGTAAAAAGTGTAAAACCCAACTCAGCCAATCATATCAGACCTTGTAAGTTGTAAGCCAGTCATATCAGACATGGGGGGAGGGGCTCTGGTGGTTCTTTCTCTGAAAAGTATTATTCAAAATACATCATATGCATAAGAGTGAAACAGTGAGTGGCTACAGAGTGAAAATACCTAGTGTCACCAAGTAGTCCTATTTTTGATCAACAGTTTTTTGCCTATTGCTAGTCTAAAAGTTCATGATAAACATTTCAGGGCCATAAATGACCCTCTAGTAAAGGTTTAGCCCCCCACCAATCCGTGAATTTCTAGTGACACCCATGTTTTAACCTTTTTACATACTTACAGTCATTCTCCTTACTGAGTCTTCTTCTGACTGCTTCTAGTGAGTCTGGTCTTTCTTGCAGCTGCTTGATTCTCTCACATAGAAGTCTCTCCTTCTCAAGCTGTTTGTCTTTTTCACTCATTTCAGTTTTCTGTTGTTCCAGTAGGATCATCATCTCCTGTAGTTTGCTGCTCTTGTCCTGCAGTTCCTTTCTCAGAGTCTCCAGCTGCTTTTTACTGTTTTTAATTTGTTTGTTTTTCTCTTCTAAAATCTTATTTCTCTCCTCTAGTTGCTTTTTGTTTTCTTTCTCCATCTCTGAGAGGCTTTTTTTCAGTATTTCTAACTCTTGGTCTTTTTCATTCATCCTACTATCAAATGCTTTCTGTTTGTTTGTTATGACGGCCTGAGTGACAAATTCAGGCAGGTTCCTGATGAAGTATCTGTCAGCTTTTACTGCATTCTTCTCTCTCATCTTCATCTCTAGTCTGTGACTCGTCACCATCATCCTCCTCTCCTCCTGCATCCTTTCGAGCCCTTGTTTAGCTTTCTTCATCTGCTCATCTTCTCTCTTCACTTCTCTCTCCAGCTCTCTTCTCTTCCCAATATTTTTTTCCTGTGTTAACTTTCGCTTACATGCGTGTTTTTGGTTTTCGTGCTGCTTTATCATTTCCTTCAGCATTTCAACTGGTTCTGCTGAGCTCCTCAAATCATCCACAACAGCTCTCATTTTTCCTCTCATCTCCTCTTCCTCTCTTTGTCTTATCTCCACTCTTTCTCTCATTATTCTTTCCTGCATCTCTCTGGTCTCCAGACTGATCTCTCTGATGCTCTCTCTCTCCTCTTGTTGCTTTTCCTCCTCTTTTAATTCTTCTTCGTTGTCTGTTTGTTTGGCTGTGTTCTCCAGTTCAGTCTCAGCTTCCTTTAGTTGTTCCTTCTCTGCCTTCTTTTCTTCGATTAAGGCCATCA